TGGTTGGTGGCTGGCAGGGTGTAGCTGCTGTGACAGAAATAGGAAGTGGGTGGCTGCAGCGCAGCCTTGCCATGGGATCGGGTTTATGCATTTTCTTTTTTGCAGCGGGAGGGGAGGTGATTTATGGCTTTTAAAAAATTAATATGACATTTTTATTTGCTCGTGGCTTTCCACTGTCTTGCTCTGGAAGTATTTTCTCAGCGCGCTACATTGCAGCAATTCCCTGACGCCCCCCTCGCCTCCCCTCCCCTCCCACCACCCAGTTCCTCCCACCCCCTTGAAGTGACTGCACAGGACTCGCGAGAGAGAGAGGGAGAGGGAGAGAGAGTGGGGGAGAGCCCCGGCTTCCTTAGTCGCTGGAGTGGAGGCGGAGGCTGGAGGCTGGTGGCTGAGGACGAGCCAGCGGGGAGGAGGGGGTTAGGAGCTGCCTTTGCTGGGAGCAGCAAGGAAAGCCCCGAGGTCCCGTACCTCCCGCTGCTTTCATCGGTCAGCCCCCGGGCCCAGGACCACCTCCCCCAAAATATCGCAATCACCCCCGTCCTAAAAAAATCCCACCCATCCCACACAACCAACAGTCTGTGCTTGCTGAAGAGCCTGCCTCGGCATGTAGAAATATACGTGGAAATCTCCAGTCTGACAGCTGGGGCTACCATACCTACTGCCCCCCCCCCCCCACCTCTGCTACCTTATAGCGAATCTAACGGGGTTCTCTCTCTCTCTCTCTCTCTCTCTCTCTCTCTCACACACACACACACACACACACACATACACACACACTGTAGATTTATGATGATTGTTGCTCTTGGGTTTGCTGCTAGGGTACAAGGAGGAAGCGAGGAGAGGCAATGACAGTTCGAAGCCTGCTTTCTCACTGGGGGAATCCACCGTCCTCGGCTTGCCCACTGTGGGGATGGGGGTGGGGACAGGAGGAAAGAGAGTAGGGGAGGAAGGAACCGTCCTGGGAATCCTTGGAAGGATAAGGCATTCAGCAAATTCATTCGAAGAGAGTGACAACCCCGCCCCCTTCCCCATCACCCTGCCTGCTAAGAATCAGGATCTAGCCTCCACGAGCCTGGGGGTACTGCGGAAACGGGCCTTTGAAATACTCCCGAATTAGCTGGGTTGTTGACTTGAGTGGTTGGGATTGGGGTGTTGTTCTGTTTTTGTTTTCATTTTAAGGCGAAAGGGTATCTATCCAATACCCACTGGGCGCCAAATACGGAGCCCTGCAATAAAGTCGTGTGTCCCATAATCATTTCTTTTTATTGATGATTTGAGCGTCTTGAAAGTGAATGGAAAATTCTCAAACTAGTTTTGCCCTCACCGTTTCAAAATGATCCATTTATGAAAGCCTTTTCTTTAAGAAAAAAAATTGCCTTATTGGAATTTTTTGTGGATGTTTATTCATAGAGCTTTTAAAGTACAGAAAAATTCTGCAAGTAACTTAAAACATGAATATAGGTAAGAGGAGTTATATGTTCTCTCTGCAGGCTTTGGCTCTCATGGAAACACTAGTAAAGAAGATTTTTGAGGAGAGCTGTATGCTGTGTCATATAGCTATGTTATATCAGCTATATGTTGTATAAGCTATTTGTTATATCACAGTGACTTATGGGATTTAAAAAAAAACAACCTTATTCTTTAATAAGAGTATCAGAGATTAAATAAGAGTTCTCTAATATATAAAGTTTGAGTTTACTTCTATTTTTTACATGTGGCTGAACATGTTTCAAAGTCAAAATTAACGTCACTATACTATTGATAACTCCATCTTAAAAAAAAATTCTATGGCTTCATCTATAAACTACACTTTCTGTTTTCGTACAAATTGCCCAGATTCAATATATATGTTTTGGTGTATACGGTTTTTTGTTTGTTTGTTTTTATTTTACAACATAAAGATATTCTGATGTTACTTGTATGTGATAGTAATTATTGCTTGTAATTGTCATGTGATGTGATATCTAGTCATTCTTTGACTAATAAGTTGCCTTGTCCCTGTAACACAAGTATCTTTTTTTGTTGTTGTTTTAAATGCATGTCCCCATTCCCAGTTCTGAAAATTTGGTTTTTATGTTTACCTATAGCTTAAAAACCATATGTTACCATATCAGGAGACCTGATTTTGTATTTGATTTATGTGGACTTTTTTTTTTTAGATCATTGCAAAAAGTTACTGTAGTTTGCCATAGTTAGGGTTTTTGGTAGGTATACTCCTGAAACTATGCTATTCTTCACTTACAAGAAATTGCAAGTATTTAGATTTAGATTTTTTTTAAAAAATTGCTTAACAAAATTCATGGATATGATTTTTAACATTTCTGTAAACATATTTCACTTTTGGTTAAATATATACAAAGGCCATCAAATTTTATGAGATATTATTTCTCCCAGGACAAAGCCATATACTTAATACTTCATTAGGCCACGATTCTCAATCCTTTGGTAAGGAATTTGGAGATTTATTATGCATGTTTAACCAGCTAGAAGGAGAGGGAAGAAGGGAGGGAGGGAGAGGGATAGGCAGACAGGTGAGGGAAGAGAGGAGAGAGAGAGAGAGAGAGAGAGAGAGAGAGAGAGAGAGAGAGAGAG